GCCGAGGCCGGCGGGAGGGTGGCGGGGTGTCAACGGGTGTGGGGGGTGTGGGGCCGGGGCTGGGTGTCTCCGGCGCCGCTATCGAGGCGTGGATGTGCAGTGGACGGATGTCCTTGCAGTTTGGTCAGCTGTTATCTTGTGCCGATCAAGAGGTGCTTGTACTTGCCTGGAATGTTGCCATTTTCTGAATGGAAAGAGGAGTGAAGGGAAGCAGGGCACCTTCCATGGTGGTACAATTACACGTTTCCCAGCTTTTCCCTGACCTAACCTCCTGTCTTGCTCATGGCTGCAAAGAGCAGCCACAATGTGCGGGAGAAGCACAGCAGACCGACCTGGGCTACAGAGGATTCCCCAGTATTATTAAACATCCTGATAAATTTGAGTTCATGCACAGTTCTGAGTGAATCCCCTTCAGCATCCTTAGTCTGTGAAGTCTGTAGGGTACCTTATTAAGGTAGAGACAATCATTACAAAACAAACAAAAAAAAAACAACAAAAAAAAGAGTGCCTGCTTTGACCAGGCTTCTAGTCCTTCCAGACATTCTTGTTATTTCTTCAAGGTAAAAGGTTACTGTGGAGCCCTTGTTCATGACTTGATAGGAACCAACAATGCTTTATGGCATGAAGAAATATACAGTCATCCACCTACCATTATGACACTTCATCAGTCTAAGAACATGAAGAAATTTTCTTCCAACCATGGCTATTTTGTCAAGCTGCTTTCCTCGATGTGGTCTCAGCCAGGGTCACAGGGGTGGTACCCAATTCACAGTGCTTTGGTTTCTATGGTTATAGCTACACAGAAATTTATGGCTAGATTTCTGAGTTCCAAAAGATTAGTGACAGTGATGCTCCTTGGAGCACTAGGAACACTGGCCGACAAGAAGGTCGGGGGTATCCTGCGGTGCATTAGGAAGAGCTTTGCTGATTCCCCCACTCTACTTAGCCCTGCTGAGGCCATACGTGTCCTGTCCTGTGTCCAGTTTTGGGCTCCCTAGTACAACAGGGACATGCAGCTACCGGAGAGAGTCCAGCAATGGGCTGCAAAGATGGTGAAGGGATTGGAGCATCTCTCCTATGAGGAGAGGCTGAGGGAGCTGGGGCTGTTTAGCCCAGAAGACTGAGAGGGGTGTTACCAGTGTATACAAATAACTTAATGAAGGGTGTAAGGGCACTGGGGCCACACTCATCTCAGTGGGGTCCAGCAATAGGTAAAGCAGCAGTGGACAGAAACTAATCATCTCTGTTGCTCTGTGCTGGACTCTCACTAGAAGCTCCATGTTCCTCTTGTGCAGGGGAGCTCAGAACTGCGCTCAGTACTCAAGTTGCGGCCTCACCAGAGCTGAGCACAGGGGCACAATCCCCGTCCGCAACCTGCTGGCAATGCTTCTCCTCGGGCAAGCCAGGATCCCATTGGCCTTCTTGGCCACAAGGGCACATTGCTGCCTCATGGTCAACTTGTCAACCAAGACTCCCAAATCCTTCTCTGTAGAGCTGCTTTCCAGCAGGTCAACCCCTAATCTGTCCTGGTGCCTGGGGTTGTTCCTCCCCAGGTGCAGGACCCTGCACTTGTCCTTGTTGAACCTCATGAGGTTCCTCTCTGCCCAACTCTCCATCCTCTCCAGGTCCCTCTGAATGGTAGCACAGCCCTCGGGAGTGCTGGTCACTCCTCCCAGTTTGGTTTCATCTGCAAACTTGCTGAGGGTGCCCTCTGTGCCCTTGTCCAAGTCATTGATAAACCAACTGAATAGCACCGGGCCCAGTACTGACCCTGTGGGACACCACTGGTCACAGGCCTCCAACCAGACTTGGTCTAATGAGACCTCCCTCTGGGCTCTACCATCCACCCAGTCCTCAATCCACCTCATTGTCCACTCCTTCAGTTCACACTTCCTGAGCTTTCCTGTAAGGATGTTATGGGAGACTATCCAAAGCTTTGCTGAAGTCAAGGAAGATGACATCCACAGCTTGCCCATGGTCCAGCCAGCCAGTCCTCCCATTGTAGAAAGCTATCAGGTTCATCAAACACAACTTCTGCTTGGTGAATCCATGCTGACTCCTGGTCACCTTCTTTTCCTTCACATCCCTAGAGATGGTCTCTGCAATGAGCTGCTCCATTACCTCTCCAGGGACGGAGGTGAGGCAGCGGGGCCTGTAGTTTCCTGACTCCTCCCTCCTGCCCTTTTTGCAGACTGGAGTGGTGCTGGTTTCTGGTGCCAGCCCTCTGGCACCTCCCCTGCTCTCCATGACCTCTCGAAGACGATGGAGAGCGGCTGAGCAAGAACCCTTGCCAGTTCTCTCAGCACTCTTGGGTGCATCCCATTCGAACCCATGGATTTAAGAGTGTCCAGTTTGCCTAAATAACTCCTAACCTAGTCCTCCTGGATGAGGAAGATTTTTGTCTTCCTCTCTCCTGTTTGTCTCTCTTGTGAGACATGATCCTGTGCCATGTGCTGTAGGTCATCCTGGCTTGTGCGGGACAGTTGGACTGGATGCTCTCCAAAGTTCTCTTCTGATTCTGTGATACCACAGAGCTTTAGTTCTTCCCTAGTTCTCTCCAGCTACACATGGCACAGTGCATCCTGTTTCCCTCAAGATCTGTTTTCCAAACCTAATCTGTGAAAGTACAACCTATGCACTAAGCTTTGTCCCCAAAGTCAACCCCATCTCTCCATCTACCCTAACCACTCAAGGTGTTACTATGGCTATCCAGTTTTAATCTCCAAAATCTCCTCTTAAAAAGCAGGCTCCAAAGCAATGAGATGAGACGCCTTAGTATGCAGGGTCTAATAGTGGATCAGAGACTGCACCACATCTCCAAATTGTAGGAGGGAATGGTTTTGTCTTGTGTCTCCTCAAGAGGCTTTTGGAAACAGTCCTCAGCATATCTAATAATGGGTCTGTGGTCAAGTGGCTTGTGAAGAGGCATCATCATAGGGCCAGAAGTGGCAAAAGGCTTCCTGTAACTATCCATGTTACACTGGGAATTTCAGGCTCATAAATTAAGTAGTTTGGACGAACAACCTTTGCAGCAGCTGAGTGCCTACTGAATGACCAGCACCTGAACTCCCAGCCACACTCATTTGATTTGTGCTGATCACAAATCAAATAAAATACCAACTGGTCTCTTAGGCCTTCTCCACTGTACATGCATTTCAGTCCTTGGCCTAACAACATACAAAGTCTTCACAAGTCTTGAGATCAGGACTGCCTTGAATTAGAGAGCATCAGCTCTTTAATAGTCTACAAAATAAATTTTTTTTTTCTTTTTTTTTTCGGGACAATTAAGGTCTGTGTGCTAGTTTCTTTCCCCCTGCATTGAGCCCCATCGAGTTCTCCTGAACTGAGGGCCCTAACTGGTGCCAGACACTTGGCAAGAAATTTGTTAGTTAGAGGAAGTGGCAGAGCTAAAAAAGACTTTTGCAAGACCACAGATAGTAGCCAATTTCAGACAGAGCAGACGGTTACTCTGGGAGGAGAGAGGGAATTAAAAGCCCTAAAATGAACGAAAGAAAGGTTTTGAGAGTCTGTGAGTTTTTAAGGGAGCGACACTTGCAGCTGTGCAACCGTAGTACAAGTAGAGTGTAATTTCCTGTCAGAGAGTCTATATATGATCTCACAAATATACTACTTCTCTTAACACCACACTGGTGCTTTGCAATGGCTTCATATTATGTGAGTAAATTTTTAAGATGAATCTATAAGACTGGAGTGCAGGTGAAATGATTTTGTGAGCCTACAGCTTAATCATCCAGAATGTTGACATCTAGGTAGTCCTTTTGATAGTGCTTGAACACACTCTTCACAGTACCTGTAGCTGAGTTTGTGCTGAAGAGCCCCATGAAAGGAACATCTCTGTGCATTTTTACATGTATATGTGCTTGTAATCAACCTCATAGGATCATAGAATCACAGAATGCTGAAGGTTGGAAGGGACCTCTAGAGGTCGTATAGTCCAACTCCCCTGCACACGCAGGGTCACGTAGAGCACGTGGCACAGGACTGCATCCAAGCGGGTTTGGAAGATCTCCAGAGGGAGACTCCACAATCTCCCTTGGTACCTCTTTGGTGCTCCGCTGGAACAGTGGTGTCATGCCACTGGTGTTCCTTAGAACACCAGATGGGAAGATACGGGATATTTTGTAGCTAATATCCACCAGGAGTTGGTGTTTCATAATACTGAAATGGAGCAGCAGTCTTCCTTTTTTAATACACACTCTGACGTTGCACAGATGTGCACGTATCGTTGACTGTGCTGGAGAGCCAAGGGGCCTCTGTTGTTGAAACATGTCAAAAGGTAGAATTGGCAGGAGTAAAGACTCACATCA